TACTCAAATCAAAAGACGTCTGCTAATATCCTTTTTCTTTCTTGAATGTTTTTATTAATTTTCGACATCGTTACATTACACTGTTTTATAGTAGTTGTTCTCTGCCCTAAGATTCGTCTCATCCTTAGGTCATTTAGAAATTTCTATATTGAATAGCTTTCCTGATTTCAAAATTTCCCGCCAGTTCCCCTGTCGTCAACATTTGTTCCTCCTCTTTAGAAATCATTAATTGAAAGCATTAATCACCTGTTTATGGGTACGCATCACGCTGGTTTTTGTCGATTGCATTTCGTTACTTTTCCATTTAGCATATGTTTGTCTTTCTTACACGGTCGAACGCCACAGTGTCAACAGCAAAATAGACTAACTTAGATTCATTGGTCATTCACTTACATTCACTTTTATCTTTTGGTCTACCCTTATTGGAATCTTTATGCATAATGCTTTAAACAAGCACAATATGCATCGTAAGCTATACTCGCTTGTAGTCGAAGGTCGCATTTTCATTCTTACCATACATACCACGTTTTGAATGATCGTCTTTATAATGATCATTAATATCCATAATCATTCTGTGCTTGATTGATAACTCTTGATTGATAATAATCGCATCACTGTAGCTTTTTTCTCATAGCTTCTTCTCTTCTACAAGTCATCTCAATTTCATCTTCTTCCTACTAATTATCAATATCAGATTCAGCTAGAACTATACTTATCTGTATTAGTAATCAAAACCTTTTCGTTACGATGTGACCGTTTGTCTCTTTAATACACATCTTTTTTGGGTTTTTGAATAGCGTTTGTATAAATTTTCTTAGCCTTCTTGGTGTCTAACTCAGCGCCTTTTTGCATACTGCCGTTAACTATGCAGAATTACTCTTATCTATTCAACGAATTGTTTTATATTCATACTTTCTTGTTTTTAACGATCTTTGCGCGTCATCAATGCGCTTTCATTAGTACCTAATAAACCTCTTATTATGTGACGATTATTCAAATCGATTATATCAATAGTCCACATTATGAATCATTGATTCCAAGCCAATACTGTACACAAATATATATATATATATATATATATAATAGTTTTTAAGTGTTTTCCCTCTCAAATCTTCTTACACCTTCTTTGTCATATTTAGCTATACCCTTATTTTTATTATTACTCGATAAAATTGTCGAGCTGCAGCGTCGCACCGCGAAGTTAATCCGTTGGCAATCTCACCGACACCCGGAGTACTAACCCCTTTCTACTAATGAAAGCTGTCTTCAGCTATGAATAGTTCTACTAGTTTATTAGTAATGGCAGGGGTGATGATGATAGTTGCCATTGTACTGGTGGTGAAAGAGGTCGACAAACAGGTAGTCGCATTTTGGCGTGGACGAAAACCTATTCGTGCCCGTCATGACATAATGCCTGCTTGTTTACAATCGACGCTTTTGACTGGCTAAGCGGGCCATGCACATCCTAGCTGTCATCAATTGCCCCCAGACCGCCCGCTGCTCGGTCGGAGCTCGTGAACTGGCCCCGTGAAATAAGCAGTTGTTGCTAAGAGTATCGTCGCCCCTGTCTCGGCTCGCCGCACCACCGGTTTACCTCTTGGCAAATGCGTTTTTTTAGGTGCCATTAGGTCACTCGCACACTCATTCCAGGGGACCGTTGAGCGAATGGCGGCTGACTACTTAGTCCAATTGTCGCCTGACTGTCTGACGCCGTACGGGCCAACAAAGATGCGGTACGTAAACGCGCAAGCGGTTTTAGGTTGTTTTTGTCTCTACAGATAACAGTTTATGCTAGTAGTCCGGGGTGGAGCTGGTCATAATACCATGATGGCCTGTTATACCAACTCAACTGCTGTACGTTCGCTCCTAATCAGTCCGACTCTCTTCGGGATTGGAGTATGTGCGGTAAAATATGTATCAGCGACAATTCTGCGCCGTGTCAACGACACTACGTCGATAGTACCCTATCGTTGCAACGAGAGTGGTCCGCTTCCTCTCACAAACCAAAAACAAATCGATGGCAGCAGGTGCTAGCACAATACGCAGCACAAAAAACAAAAGAAAATATACACACGCTCTCTGACAGTCCCTTTTGCTTTCGCATGCAGAAGCCACATAAACATAACTCCCAGTATACGAAGCGCGTGCATGCAGAGGCGCTCAGGTAGACAGACGAATAGAAAAACAAACATTTAGACATACAAAACGATACAGATGATAGTGAGAAAAAGCTATAGTAGAATTTATTATCTGTAGGAGTATTAGACAATCGCCTAATTGTTACCTTTGGAAAAACACCAGCCATCACCTATGTCTTGTCGCGCTGTCTCCATGTGCTGTTGGACGTGGTCATAAAAGTTTGCCTCGTCAGCTACGCCAGCTTGAGCAGGACAGAAATGGCAATTGGGCGTTTAAGGTGTGCTAAAAGGTATATTAAACAGTAAAAGGACGCCGTAAACAACTTTTTTTTTTCAATTTGAAGCTATTACGGTTGCTGTTGTTGTTTTTATTTGTTCATTTGTCGTCGTGGCTTGTTATAGCTTTTGATCATTTTTTAGCGTTCACTCTGCAGATTAATGGTCAGGCGTTTTGTATCTCTTTTTTTATCTAATTCTGGGTTTCTGGCCCATTGCTGCTGCGTACCATGGTGGTTAAGTGATACGAACCCAGTACTACTACTACTATTACTACTACTACTACCACCACGCATTTATAGAAAAAGTGGCGCTTTTTGTACATTTTCAGCAGCAGAATTTGCAGCAGCTTGATCCAGAGAACAGGTCATCGTGTCCACGAAACAACCAGTTTTTCCGGTTGGTGTTAGCTGGCCACTGACGATCGCATTGCCGTTGAGTTATATAAGAAACAAGAAACACTATTTTTTTGGGATATAGATTTACTGAGTCGCGAGTCACATGGGGTTGCCGCACGGCGGCGAAGGGTAACGAGGTGTGGAAAATCATGAATATTGTAAGCTGACGTTTGTGTTATTACTATGTCGCTGAAGGTTGCTTGCATTATGATTTAGTTGGTATTGTTTTATTAATTTTTCTTCGATTTACAGCAGCTACTATTAGCTTTGGATGCTTCGCTACCATAAATGATGTTGTTTCATCATTGTTCTAGACGTTGTATTCGCCCTGGCTGTTGCTAGCACACCATTAATTTTTTTCCCTACTGTCTTCATATCAGCACCACCATCAGGTTCCATTTTCATCAAGCATGGCAGGCGTCCATTTGCTGGGTAACAGCTAGCACGCCACCTTCTTGCACTTGAAACGCAATCCAAATCGTATCTCCAAATGGACCGTCGTCGTCGTATAATCGCCACTGACTTTGATATCGGCCCGGCTCGGCCGGTGAGAGCAATCGTATTGAGAGATCAATTTCTTCGTTGGGGGCGACCGACTGATCTAACCGTACGGCATCATCGCCTTTAAGAAAATCACCCGACACATACTTGAACACGGAGCCTCGCGGCCACGCTTGAGGCCCACTGTTCCGAACGCGTAGTGTCTTGACGAACGCCGTGTCGGGGGTGACAGCTTCACCATTGCCGATCGTGCGATCCTCGACAAGAGACATGGCCCGAGCTGGTTGTATGGCCCATTGGCTAACGGCAGCCGCCAATGCCTCCTCACTATTGGCCCGGTTTACAGGGCCAGTGAATGAGTCAAAATATGCCTGCGCTGAACCGGTTCCGCTGCTACTAGAAGAACTGTTCCTGTTGCTTATTTGCTCCCAGCCAGTACATGAGTCGGTTTTTACCACGTTATTACTGCTACTACTACAGCTGCTACTGTACTCAGTGTTTGCGTTGCTGGAGTTCGTACTGGTTGCCGCTATGGCGTTGCCTCCGCTGGGATTTTTCCCGCTGAAATTCTGGCTAAACTCAAAGTACGACCAGACGGCAGCTTCAAGGTTCCAGTTATTCATATCAAGGAAGAAGGCACTTTCTGTTTGTGACAGCCCCTCAGCCAGCTGCTGCATCCGCTGAATGAGGACATCTCGATCCGTCGTTCCCATTCGAGAAAACTCTTGAAGAAGTCCACCCCAGTCGGGGTCCATTTGCTGTGGCTGCTGTTGTTCCTCGCTGCCCGTCGTCGTTGTCGTATCGTCAACTTCCATCGTAAACTGAGAATGCCGTTGCAAACAGAAAAGATGACGAAGGCTACCCCAAGGCGGGGACTACGACACCACGATAACCGCTACAAGCACCTCACAATCCAGTCAGCTTCCACCGGAAAGCCAACCACCCACAGTTGTGCAGTTACTGTCGACTACTTACAGCGTGATCCCCACATAACACACACACACACCCGCGCGCACCCACAGAAACACAAAGACGCCTCCCGGGGATCGCTCACACAGTGACAACCCAACGACAGCGGCCGACTTAACGACGACGAAACGTACCGCTATGAAATCAAATTGCAGTTGGGAAACAAATCGAGCAATATAAATTTAGGGAGTAACCCCAGCACCGATTATGTAGATCCTGCAAAATGACTAATATCACACGTTGTGCTAACAGGAAGAACTCGCAACGCATGCGCCAAACTCAATACGAACATGGATTAGAAGCTGGCAAACGATCATCCGCTTTTGTGACACACGCACACGTATACATAGGCCGGTTGGCGATTTGTGTCGACGAAAAATAAGAGAAGTCCGCAGAAAACCGTACAATCGAAACAGTTAACTAATATAGCCAGGCCACTAGTTGCCACGAATGCCAAGAGCCACCCTAGTTCGGCACACAGTGCTTCGACTGGTGCCTGGCTACCAGCTCGTGTAAACCAGCGCTGGTTGTATATTGCCTTCAGTTGTAATGCCTCCTTTGCCGCAGCAGGACAATTCGTTTAACCACGATCTGAGCCAATGATGCGGTAGTTTCAGTCACTTTGTAAGGATGCTTAGGGTACTCCGAGGCGAATTAGGAGCAACCAACCTGATACCTCGTTAGACAAACTACCGTCCTCGTAGCACAACGCTCACTAATTCATATCATAAACTACATCAGTTGTTAACGACAGTAGCTAAATGCCATCAGCTGATCACTTTTTTCTGCGACATTTTGTAGCTAGGGCTGAGATCGCTCCGTCAGTTAACCGTAATGCTCGGAACAGCATCAGGACGCCACGGGTTTGAATGTTATGGCGGGCAGGCAGGCAGGCGAACAGTCAGGCAGACGCAACGGCCAGCAGGCGCCACAGCCTAGTCCCGGCTGAGTAACCAGCATCGGCAGCACATATCGGTGCAGCTATAAAGCTGAGCGCTCTCATCTTTCATTGAAGGGACGTACTGATGGATATCAAACCGACATTTCGATATCTACTGGTGGCTCGATGCGCGCGCTTCTTTACAGACGTTTCTCACTAATATAGACAGTAATGATTGATACAGCAGGCTTTGCTTTGGCTCATATTGCGAATTGCATGAAGAGTAAGAAAGAGAGGGTTCTATTGGCATCGTATGACTAGCCAGCGAGCCAGCTGCCAGATTTTTAAGTAGGATCGTAATAGCAGCAGCAGAAATCGCGCCGTATGGCGTGTACATCAGTGGGGAGCCATTGTTCTGAACAGAGCTAAAAAAGGATGAATTCAAATCGAGCAGATTTTGTCATATCGTGTAAAATTGCGGCTCACAGGGCGCAGTGGATTTGTCGGAAGGCAGTGTACAGACGTGTGGGGCCTTTTACCGAGTAAGGCAGCAAGTGTCTCATGGGCTGCCAGAGAAATAAAATAGCGTTTGACGAGGCGGGAAAGTGGTTGACGATTGGAGTGCTGGTGGTGCCAGTCGAATAAGTAGTATGCTCTAAGTCGGCAGGGTGTCGAACTGCACTGACTATAACCTAAGTACCTTAACGAGCTCAGTAGTTCGCTAGGGGACACTGCAGCTCGGTCATGGTCCCTCACTATGCAGCAGCTTGCCTCCGTGATATCTGTATACCTTGTGTGTGTGGCTTTTATGTTGTGGTTTTGATGCGTGCACGTAGAGGCTGCTTTAGAACGGTACCAATGTGTAGGATCGGATCGGACCAGTTCGGTTAGCCCAAAGACCGACCAATGGAGCGAGAGGGATGTACTACAGGACGCATGCGCCAGGATTCCCAGGGGCCCGCACGAGACTGTCCCGTCTCTTCACCCTGCCCTTGCACCCCCTTTCACCCGCCCCCCCAACCCGTGCAACTTTATCCTAAACCCGCTGCCGGCCAGAAACGAGCTGTTGGAGATCCGTGTGTTTTCCACCAGCGCTTTTGCGTAGCTTCTCTTTATCCATCTGACATTAGGTTCATAGTGGGCGTCATAATTTTGCTTGCTACTAGGGTTGCATGGTAAAGTGTTCATGAGAAGGGCCTCGCACAACGGCATCTGATGGGCTCCGTGAAGTAGTGACATGGAAAGAGGGGAGCGAAGCTAGCGAAGCACTCTGCATGGTGCTTCACTATGCAAAGCGTAACTGTCGGTAACAGCAAGCCGGGGGAAGAGGTTAGTGAGGGGTTCAGGATTGACAGCACAACTCAATGGTGATAAAGTATATAAAGCTCGGCGGCTGATCTGTTTCCGTTGTTGAAGCGTCAAAAAACCTTGTGCAGTGTTTTTCTCCTCTGACTCATTCTATGCTCGCGTGGTATAGTTACATTTGTGGCACGGGATTAAGCCACTGACGAGGTCCGTGCACTGAGAGAGCCGAAAAACCGACCGACACTTACTTGCACTGTACTCTATGCCCACTAAGAGTAGCGTGGCCTAATTGGAATCCTGCATATACTATGCCACTATACTTCCATGTCTTCCGTTTACTCACTGGAATAGCCTTGACTTAAACCTCAAACTACGCTCACTTTAACTCATCGATCTCCACAGACGTATCTGTTCACGACTTTTCACTGCGTTCACAAGTCGAGTTAGCGACTTTCGAGTGTGCTCAACTAACAACCGGCCGTAGGCTGAAGCTAGATGTAACTTGACGTAGCTACCAGACACTTTCCTCTTAGATGGCGCCCATTGGATCTTAGCAACTTCCCAAAGGAGCTATGCTATTGACCGGCCTGACAGCTTGAGAGAAAGCCGAACTCAGGTTTAAATCCCTCAGTGCTAGAAGTAACAGTACCTATAAGAAAAGTGGCTGCCAAAAGACTCCTACTTTGAGAGGGATGTAGCAACAGCATTTTTGAACAGGGGGTGGGCCTCGCTCTGCGCCGCGATTTTATCTTACGTTCACCGGCAGAATAAAGTATAGAAAAAGGATTATGGGCTTTTCGGTCTGTTCACGCTTCGAAAACCACACAGCGTCGACAGTGTTGCCAATTGTGGTTTTCGTTGTTTCTGCTGCGCGTCTCTGGCAATCATCGATGTTTGCATATTTTCGAAACGAGCGGAACACATCCAGAGAGTCATGAATTGCGGGAATACGGGACCGCGCAAAAATAATATAATATAGATAAACTAGGCGCAACGTCTGAGTAGGTCTATAGGACAGCTGTATGCCCATTTTTACATTTCGAGCTTTCATTAAGGCCATGAGAATCATGCATTTGTCTAAGACATATATATTTTTAAGAACGCGATCAATAGCTTCTTGTTTGATGCAGTAAATCCCGTTTGAATGAATTTTATGGGATAAAATTCATTCAAACGGAGAGTTTATGGTGGTTTATGATTATTTTCCCATACTATATTTACAGTTAGAAAGCAGAATTTACAAAGTTTTGTACGTTTTATCATATTGCAAGTTGATCACCCTTGTATACACAGACAATGTGCAGACGATCTAACCACAAGCAATTCCTTATACAATTTAATAGTTCATCTCTACCCAACCGTCAAACATTTCCAAGTTCGTATTCGAATTTATTCCAGTTACTAATGTAACTCTTGTTTACAATAGTAATGATATGCATAACTATTAAGCGCTAATATTGATCATAAAATTAGTCACCAGTTAAATATATAAGTGTTTCATAAAATAATAGTAATCTATCAATTCTGGTTTACAGCATTAGAATAAGTAGTATCTATGGCTAAATGCTAGCTTCTTCCGCTCTTGGGGAACAGATGCGTTGAGACAAAATCTGTCTACAATCTGTTTCGAGGAGTTTCCGATTCTTTTGAAATATCAATTTGTTTGCATAGCTAAAACTCGATACGAAAAAGGTTTTTCAAGTAAGTTATTCCTGCCAGACTTTCAAGTAGCGTATGATTGCTAGTAGACGGGAACATATGAAATCTGAGCAACGTAATTTTTTGGGGCGCACATCAGCGTTTCCTTCGACACAATGAAGCAAAACTTGTAGTCTTTGTCTGAAGTCAGTTGTGTTCTCCTTCAACAGAACTAACCCGAACTCGTGTCATTTAGGGTTAGGGTGAGCAGTTACATAGAATGTTGCTGGCCGATTGTTTATAGGCATCGCCGCATTAATCTGAGGCTTTGAGAAGGTCGAGCAACGTCAGTCAAAGCAAACGTAAAACCGTAAACGAGCACCGGATGATGCAGGATCGCGCTTTCGGTTAGACATAACTTTGCCCGTATGCCTGTGTCATAGCTGCACGAAGTCCGAATTAACGTGGTCCAAGCTATTTTCGGATCGAGCCTGTTTTCGTTTAGTCGCTTCCCGGTGTTGTGTGTCTGCTTTCCGATTTTGAGAGAGAACTGCCAATTTGGTTTGTTTTGCTAGGGAAGCGAGTGCGCTGTCTCTAGGAGCTATTTAGTATAAAACTACGAATAGATCAAGGTCAACTGCTCTGACTAAATTAAACCGATATTAAGTTCGCATTTTTTCGAGCTAAAAGCAGTAATAGCGCTTCGACGATGCGAGAAAGAATATCAAGTTTGCGCCTAATTTTTTTTTTCTAATAACCGGCAAAAAACGAGGTCACTAAGTATAACGTCATCAATTTAACATATTTCACACGAAAATAAAAAAGATATTTTGTTTGCGAGTCGGCTGTCACAACTTTTATTTTACCTTCATTTTAGTCGTCCAGTATTTTGAAACTTATCGAGCGCAACACGCACTTTCTGTAGCGCACTAGTTCAATCCCTCGAGTATTATTTTGGCTTGTCTTCCTGACCTCTCGGCAGCAACCCGAAACTCCAAAGGCAGCTTGTAGCTTCGAGGACAACTCGTAAAGTCAATATGCGCCCAATCTTCCCAAGACTCACCTTCTCTTGTACCCTAAGCGCATGTCGATTGCCAGAACCTACACAGCTTGGTTAGTAGAACCTAAAAGGAGAACGCTATTGGAAAAATATTGGACATATTTTTCCTTCTATTAATTCCTTCATCGCCGTGATTGACTGTCTAGGTGAATGGCTAGCATCGTATTCGTTTTTTACCGATATCAGTTTGCGCTGTAGGAAAGCAAAGAGAAACCTAAAAAAAGATAGGGAAAAATAGATAGGTTCCCAGCTTCCAATCGGGAACGGGTATTGCCGTGACTACTCAAATCATTTATCCTCCCAACTAAAGTTACTAGTTCCGACTCCGACCGTTTCCACAGCGCTACGACCATCTGTCTCCGCTGATGCTGACGGCAGCGACTGCGCAAATGTACGAGATGCGCACGGCAATATGAAGTAATTTACATGTTATTACTACCCCCACCTGGGTGATTCAACTACTCACAGGACCTCTGGAAGCCCTAGCGTCAGCTCTCAACCCCAACACGCCCCAATCGATTGGCGTCATTTACTGGTTACGTTTACCTCCCCCCCCCCCTCATACGCAGTTGCCCCGACGAGGCACATTTCGCCTGTTTAGCGTTGACTTGAGATATCGCGGAACATTTATCATTCACTGTTTATACGTCTTCCCAGCAGCGTCGGCTGAGCTAATGTGATATTCGATGCAGACCAGTCACCTTTCGTCGATTGACAGGTTGCCGCACCGGTAAGTGTAGCAGCTGCAACAACAGTACTAAAACTTTAAGACGACGAGTGTTTGAAACCATACGTGGCACTTTTGTACAACTGAGGCCATTTCGAGGCTGTGACAAAGGCTAGCACTCTTTTCACCACTATTCTCAGTAGGCATGTTTCAATGAGCTAACGAAGCGTTCTGTGAGTTTTACTCTGACCTTTTCGAGTGGCCGAACCGACAAAACGTTCAACCGACATACGCGTCCGGGAGTATTTTGCACGACCGGTGTACATCGTCATATAGCTAGTACCGTACATACCGAAAAGTCAATGGGGGATTATAGCTGGCAAGCCGTTTACCCCTCGCGCGACAGTAGCGTAATCACAACGATAATCTACTGGCTCCACAGATACCTAAGGCAAAGACCATTACATATGGCTTTTTCGAGCACGTATCTAAAGCAATCAGATGTGATCGTTTTTTTAGGGAAAGGGGCAAAAGTGTGTTAATTGTCAATATAAGTGAAGTAATTGAGCACTGAATAATTGGACGACGTATTGTCAATAATTCTAGCACTTGCTTTTAACGTTTTGCTTGGCCGACGGTACATCCCATATCAGCATAACTGGTACAATATCATCGCGGTCTGGGCCTTCGCAGAGATGTCGGCTGGTGGCATAAAATGTAAGAGATATGTGGTGTCAAACTTGAAGGCTAAAAATATGCTATATAAATTAGATATCGGCGTATTTGTATTGATGCAAGATGCAAGTGTCTTAATCAAAATAATTATAGTACATCCATAGTTCTAGTCTTCCGTATGTAACATATGTAAAGGCCGCTCACTTTATGTAAGCGTCGTGGTGCAGCTAACAACTCAAAGGTTAACCGATAGATATGTAGTTCTACTTGTTAAAATTTCCTACAATAATGTAGCCCACAGACTTTTAGTTGAACTATAGAAGCGTGGAGCGCATAGGAGTGATCGACATTTTAAAAAATTTAGGTAGCCTGGTAGGTGCATCTTATTATCAGCTAAAAGGATTCAAAGCAGTCTCATAAAGAAAACGAACGTGTCACCTGTTCACAGAGCTTTCTGCCTCTGAAAACTGGGCAAAAGAAGGCTCCTGTAATAAATGCCCCGATTCACGGAGCAATGTGTCTAGCTAGGAGGCAAAGTGGAAGCTAGATGCACATTAGACAAAATAGATATTAAAATTATGTGTGTTGGAGTAAGTAATTGCTTCTTGCAATGAAACTGTGCAGTACTTACATAGGCTTTTGCAGTAATTTATTCATAACTTCAAAAGATTTGATTGACTAGCGTATGCTTATCGTTACAGACACTACTGAGATCGAGCCTTGAGTAGTTATCTTTTGCTTCATGTACTTCAAATAGTAAATGCCGACGGGATTAATTTTAATCCAAAACATTTATAGACACATGTATTTTGTTTTGATACTATGTATTGTGTAAAGTTAACGTCATCCAACTTCCTTGTCCATTATATAGATCGAATAGATATTTCGCCAGTCTAGCAAACGTCTCTTCTTTGACACACGCTGTTGAGTAATCAGCTAGATGACCTCATCATCAGCGTCTAGAAATGTTCCTTCACAAATTAGGCCGTTGATTAAATGCCCCGACGGATGTCTCACGTGCCTGTATGGAGTCCGGATAGGCCGAACCGTTTTTGTACTGATGTTACGCGAAACATTCATAGTCGAAAACTGGTAAACCTTTTGTCCGTCCACACAGGATTACTAGTGCTGTTCTGTTTTGCTGGAATACACGAACCTCTGTGGTGAAGCAATTGCCGTCACATGTGCATAGAAGAGAAAATGTTGAAATAGCACAACCCCAAATGCGAGCAGCACCGGGGCTTAGGGTAGTGTCTGGCATGCAGATAGGGGCGACTGAAACATATCTCATTCTATTCTTTGAAAGAATGGTAATACTAGATATTAATCCGTGTGAGTTTTGCATGATGATGATGATATTCCGACATTGCCCTTAACGTGTATGAAACGGGCAGTAATGTTGTGGGCGACAGATATTTAACATTAACGTTTGCTCGAGACTAGCACAGAATTGATGGCAGACACGTCTGTCGAAACGCATCTGTCGCTATTAGAGGTCAATACAACTTTAACTGTCATGTATGGTTACATCGACTCAGTATCGAATTGATAGAAAAAAAAATGTCATTGGCTGTTTTTTTGTTAATGTGTCCAATTTCGTCAGTTTTCCTCTTCTCATTTACTTTGTAATGCATCGTAAAAAACGTGTCATAATATACACAATTATTTGCTAAAAAAACCGCAGCACTATTAACAATGATGTTATTAGTGTGTGAATAGAAATGCCGAGGACTGCTTCTCGGGAACGTGCACTCCGCGTGTAATCTTGTCAGTCGAGCTGTCTATTTCGTATCGGTAAATCGATGTATAAATAAGTACAAACATTATACGCATAGAATTTATTAAAAAATAAACACCTTTTTCTTGGTTTTTTCATAGATGTTTCTACTCTGCGTGACTGTTGAGATTGACAAGGCT